TCACTGCATCTGAAAGCACAGTTACTCCTCCCTGTTTGTCCTTGTGTCATTTAGATGTCAGTGTTTATACTGTAAGGAGACTCTGACTAGCTAAACAAGAGTAACATACAAATCCAAGTGCAGCTGAAGCCGTTGTCTTTAACTGGTGATCTTAAGCTGTTGACAAAACCTCAGATGCCTCTTGCCCTGGCCTCTATCATTAAAGATATAAAAATGTGAGTGTCCATGTGAAGATCTCACAAATGCTATGCTCCTTTGGCTGGTGGAAGTGCAGGGCATACTCAGGCACCTCACTTATAGTTCAGAATTGGAAAGATCCACAATGTTGGATGCAATATTCAAAGCCTCACAAGTAAGGATGCTTTTTCTAGTGCCTTCGAGTTAACACTCCCCTCAAGCTTGCCCTCAGTAAATGATTCACCTATGAGAAGTCCAGATATAACTTTTTAGCTTGGTACTGTTTCTCACTGCATAACTCTTCATGTGTTGGAAATCCTTGCTGCTTTAGGATAGTTGATAAAGCATGAGACCCATGCAGTTAAAATAAGAACCAAGGAACTGGGGGCTCCTTGAGATTGTAAAACTGACCTGAGGCTCAGATATGGACTGTCTGGCAGGGGTACCTGAGACCAGAGCTCTTCTCTCTATCTGAGATCATACTCTTAACCTAGGAAGTACTGTCCCAAGCCCATAGAAACAGGTGGAAAGGCAGCCCCCCTGCTTAGCTACCACTCCAGCTGGACCCACTCTTCTGACCTTTGTGGGGGACACACATGTTAAAGCCAGCATGTCCTCAGGTTTCATATAGATTTGCTGTTGCCTCATGCTCAGCTTGATCACCTTTCCATATGATACTTCAGAATGGCATCCATGAATTGTGAAGCTAAGTTTTCAGATATGGTTTTGCTACAAACCTGTGACATCATGGAATCTATCCTATCAGCGCTGGAATAGCTATGCTTCACGAATAGAGAATCAGATTTTCCTGTAGCCAACAAAAGGAGTGCAGAGCATATGTTAGACTTTTTTTTTTTTTGATTCATTTATTTTTATTTATTTTACACAGGTAATACATTCATGAAGTTAAGGGTTTTTCTTAAGTATAAAAGATAGACAGTGAAAAGTCACCCTTTCATCACTTTGCCCTAGTCATTCAGTTCTCTTTCCCCAGGCAACCCTAGTTAGTAATTTAACTATATTTCCACAGGTTTTTTTTAATGTCCATGGCAACATATAATATGTAAGGAGCTTCCTCATTTATTTATGTCTACATAGTAGGGAAGTTCTGTCTTGATAGGCATTTGTTCTTTTTCTAATTTTTTGCTATTATTACAGAGATGCCATGAAATAACCTTGGACATGTACCATGTTTCACATATGTATGTCTACCTGTAGACTAGACATGAAATTGGTGGGTCAGACAGTATGTATATTGATAATTTTGATTGATACTTCCAAATTGCCCAACTTGGGCTTTTACCAATGTGTACTCTCACAGACAGTGTAACCCTGTTCCTGTTTCCCTCATAATGGACATTGCTTTGAGTTAAGAAATGCACATTACCTAGAGATCGAGGTAAGATACTGAATCATGGGGCCCCATGTGACACTATTCACAAGATACACAAAACACAACAGCCTAGTTTGAAAAATATTGCAAAAGAGGTAACTAGACCTCTGGTAGTTAGAAGAAAGGAAGAAAAATCCTAGAGGAAAAGGTTTCCTACCTCAGTACTTAAGATTGGCATAAATTACAAGAGGAATAAGATACTTTTCTTTACAGGATCTAGGAGGAATGAGGTGCATGTAGCCGTAGGAAAGCTGTGGGGAGAATGAAGGAAACCCTTGGACAGAGAAGTTGACAACTAAGCAAATTAGTGTCCACTGGAGCTAGATGCTGGGATCTTTTCATTTCAGCGACTTTATTTTTTAAAAGATTTAGCGCAACTGTACATTTCTTTTTGGCCTCTTTTGCCCTCATCTCACTTGGAGAGAAGGTTTCTATGAGCTGGAACTGGGTAAATGTTCAACTTTATGATTTTTTTCACTTAGCATTAATTTGTTAACCCTCCTCCATTAATCCAGATGGTCTTCATGATTCTTGTCTAAAACATTTAAACAAGCATCCTCATGCAAATAGCTCTTGTTTTCTGTGTATTTTTTGTGTGTGTGAGATGAATTATGAAGATGGGGTGATTAGATCTCAGATCCTGAACCTTTCCCAGTGAGGTTAAGCATGGACAGATTGTTCTCTGGAGAGCCCAGAGCTATCTCTAGTGCTATCAACAATATACTCTTTTTTTTTTTTTTTAGTTTCAAGTATACAGTACATTGGTTAGACATTTATATAGTTTATGAAACGATTCCCCCCTTGATTACTCTGTCTTCCCTCTGGCTCGACATATAGCCATTACATTACTGCTGACTGCATTCGCCATGCCATGCTCCCTATCCCCATGACCCTCTATCAACTACTAATTTGTACTTCCTTAACCCTTCACTGCTTTCTCCCAGCACTCCCACCTCCCTCCCCTCTGTTCATCACCAAATTGTCCTCTATATTTGTGAGTCTGTTTTTGATTAGTTTTTCTTTTTGTTCCTTAGATTCCGCACATAAATGAAATCATGTGGTATTTATCTTTTTCTGTCTGATTTATTTCACTCAGTATCATAACCTATAGGTCCATCCATGTCATTGCAAATGGTAGGATTTCACCAAAACAATAATTCATAAAGATCTGTGCACCCCAGTATTCATGGCAGCACAATTTACAATAGCCAAGATATGGAAGCAACCTAAATGCCCATCAACAGACGATTGGATAAAGAAGTTATGGTTCATATATACAATGGAATATTACTCAGCCATTAAAAAACAATGTACTCTCATGCCTGCCTCCTGGTTTTGCCAACATTGATGGTTGGATTTTTAAATTATTATTATTAATAGACTTTATTTCTTAGAGCTGTTTTAGATTTACAGAAAAATTAGACAAAGTACAAAGTGTTCCTATATACTTTTCTCCACACGCTGTTCCCAGTCCCCCTATTACAGGCATACCTTGGAAATATTCCAGGTTCAGTTACAGAGCAGCACAATAAAGCAAATATCGCAATAAAGTGAGTCACACAAAGTTATTGGTTTCCCAGTGCATATAAAGTTATATTTGCACTATATTGTAGTCTATTAAGTGTGCAGTAGTCTTGTCTAAAAAAACAGTGTGCATAACTTTTATTACTAAAAAATGCTAACCATCTGAGCCTTCAGCAAGTCGTAAACTTTTTGCTGGTGGTGGTCTTGACTCTATGTTGATGGCTATTGACTGATCAGGGTGGTATTTGCAGAAAGTTGGGGTAACTGTGGCAATTCCCTAAAATAAGACAATTACGTTTGCAGCATTGATTGACTCTTCCTTTCACGAATGATTTCTCTGTAGCATGCAATGCTGTTTGATAGCATTTTGCCCATCAAACTTTCAGAATTGGAGTCAGTCTTCTCAAATCCTGCTGCTGCTTTGTCAACTAAGTTTATGTAATATCCTTAATTCTTTGTTGTCATTTTAACTTCACCAGGAGTAGAGTCCATCTTAAGAAACCACTTGCTTTGTTCATCTACAAGAAGTAACTCCTCGTTCGTTAAAGTTCTATTCTGAGATTGCAGCAATTCAGTCACATCTTCAGACTTCACTTCTAATTCTAGTTCTCTTGCTATTTTCACCACATCTGCAGTCACTTCCACTGAAGTCTTGAACCCCTCAAAGTCATTCATGAGGGTGGGAATCAGCGTCTTCCAAACTCATGTTAACATTCACTCAGTAAGTTGCCACAAAGCATTAATTTGTAAAATAAAAGAAAAATGCAAAATCTGCAAAGCATAATAAAACAGAGATATACCTATATTAACATCTTGCATTTGTGTTGTGTATTTGCTACAATTAATGAAACAATATCGATGCATTATTAACTAAAGTTTACATTATGGTTCACTCTTTATGTCATATAGTTTGGATTTTGACAAATGCATTATGTCAAGTATGCGCCCTTATGTATCATGCAGAATAGTTTCACTGCCCTAAAAATGCCCTGTGCTCCACCTGTTTATCCCTTCTTCCCTCCCTCTGCACCGTTGGCAACTACTGATATTTTTACTCTCTCTATAGTTTTACCTTTTCCAGAATGTCATATACTTGAACTCATACCATATATAGCCTTTTCAGATTGGCTTCTTTCACTTAGCAAAATGTATTTAAGGTTCTTCCATGTCTTTTCGTGACTTAATAGCTCATTTCTTTTTATCGCTGAATAATATAACATTTTATAGATGTACCAAAGTTTGTTTACTGAAGGACATTTTAGTTGCTTGCCATTTTTGGTAATTATGAATAAAGCTGTGATAAATGTAAATTTTCAACTCATTTGGGTAAACACTTAGGAGTAGGATTATTGGATCATGTGGTAAGAGTATGTTTAGCTTTGTAAGAAACTGCCAAACTGTCTTCCAAAGTATCATTTTGCTGTACCATTTTGCATTCCCACCAGCAATGAATGGAATTCCTGTTGCTCCACATCCTCGCCAGCATTTGGTGGTGTCAGTGTTTTGAATTTTGGGCATTCTAATAGGTGTGTAGGGGTATCTCATTGTCTATTGGATATTAATACGTTTACTTTGATTTTTGGTAATTTGATAAGTACAATGTTATCATGATTATTCTTTCTTTTTTTTTAATTATTCATGAGAATGAACCTTCTTTTGTATTATTTATGTACTATTTGTGTTTTTTGCTTTTGAATTTATATTTTCGCCTTATTCGATATTGTTTTTAGAAGTTTGTATATGTCTGCATGTATTTTTTTACCAAATTTTCTTAAATTGTGGCAAAATGCAAGTAACATAAAATTTACCATCTTAACTATTTTGAAGTATACAATTCAGTTATGTGTATTCTTAATATTATATCTTATTTTCTTTAATATTTTCCCCTAATACTGTTTTTTTCTTCAGATCAACTCTTCTTTTGACTTGATTTTCTTTTGGTTCAAGAGCCTTCTCTTCCAAGTTGAGATCTGGATATTGTTCCATTTTGATGAACTACTGAAATAAATGCAACATTTTTGTCCCGGGGTAATGTTTCTAAATAACTATGATGATCCAATCCCTCCTGATGCTGATGGGATATTTTATTTTCAAATAGCCCTTCTTAAGCCAGTGGTCACCTCAAGCTGAATTCCAGAAACAATTCAGATGTAACTTCATCATATCTGTACTAAATTGCTTGTTGGTGTAAAGTAAATCTGCAGGATAATCCTTCCAAAATGCCTTTATTCTGGACTTTTCTTTTCATGGACAAAAGGGGAGTTTGAAACTCAGCTATGATTGGTTGATAATTTAATTTTTAAGTTATCTGTTTTAATTTAAATTAATTCTTGTTGCAGTAAAGGGGTCTGCATTTTCACTGCTCTTTTGAAATTGAAAATAATTCACTTTGCCTAATTACTCCTTTTTCTGTGACTAATTCAAATCTATAAAATTATAGTAGCCAAATAGGAACCATACTAAAAAGTGATTTGGGCTTTTAACATCATTGTGCCTTTGGCAGGAGATGTTTAGCTGATGTTGTAAATGTGTGTTAGGTTAATGCAAGTTTCTGTTATTAATTTTCTGTTTTCTCTTTAGTGTTTGGAAACCCACAGAACCAAGCCTATTTCACTAGAGGTTTTGTGTGTGCATTGAAGTATATTTCTATAATAACAAATACTGAATAATTTTACTACAGCTTTTCCAAATCTGGTTCTAATTTGCCACTTGATTCTCTCAGCCTTCATCCTTCCCAACCTTGTGTCACTTTGTCCTCTCTGAGAAGTTTTCTTTGTTTCCAAATGAGGAATTCTCTGAGTGAAAATTATGTCATTTTTTCCCCCAAAGTTAATGATTCTTCTCTTTCCAAACAATTTTTTTTTTTTTTTCGTCTAAATTACAGTTGCCCTCCAGGCTGGCTGAGACAGAATATAGAAAGCCTTGTTCCAAACATCCAGGGAGTCCTGTGGAATAGTGAGCAGGTGCCTGTAGTCAAGGAGAAGCCCTGCTTTGGTGTGAATCAGGTTAGATCTAAACCATGACAAAGTGGAGAAGCACAAATATATGGCCACTCTTAAGTTTCCTGTCTTTCATATCTCTAATATTTCTGCTTTGAGGAGGTAATTTAACCACATCTTATTTCATAGATCCAAAGTATCTAAAAAGTTTCTCTAAATGTTATCTTTCCCCAGTAATTATAACTTATGTTTTTACATTGGAAACGCTTTTATATATTATGAAGCCATAGAGCTATTTCCTGCATCAGAGCAAACAATAGGTTAATTTCATTTAAAAATACAACAAACTGGACTTGCTAGTTCTGGGAGTCAGGAGCGCTCCCTTTTCGACCCTATCTTTTGTCATGGCTCTTTTTCCCACCCCTCCCCAGTCTGTCTCACCCCTATACCCAGCTCAGGTCATTGTGGAACAGTTAAACCTTATACCTGCCCGCACTCCTTCTCTGCCCTTTCTCAGAGGACCAGAGGAGTTATAAATCTAAAATGTCAAGTGTAGGCAGGGACTGCTAAGACACAGCAGTCCTGAGGCAGTGACAAGCCTCTTTTTTTGGCTTTGTTAGTTTCACTGTTGTCAGTTTAGTACCAGCATAGGATTCAGAGAAAACCATCAGTTGATGAAAGGGAGAAAAATGGCAATCAGTTACTTGTACATGCTTGGCAGCCACGAAGCACCTTCTTACCACCTGCATTCAGGCTCTGTTGGAAGGCAGCTTCAGAGATCAGGAAAGGTTAGAAAGCAAGAAGAATGGACTGTTTAAAAGGTTTCTATTGTGAGACATAAGGAGGAAAATTGAATATTTAGCCTGGACATGAGAACATGTAAAGGAATGGAAATTTGTTTTCTTTGAGTCTAAGAAGTGTTATTTTGGGAAATGTGTCTACCAGCTATTCCTCTTTCCATTGTGGTCCGGTCAGGAAGGACTGTGTGTAAGTTGCAGTGGGTAAGATGAAAGTTAAACAACCAATATTCAAGTGTTCTGAACACTGACTGGTAAACTGTAAAATGAAGATAATAGTGTTTAGTTATAGAATTCTTGTGAGAATTAAATGAGTAACTGTGTAAATTGCCTAGTACATTGTAGGTTAGCTCTATAGCGGTATTCACTATTAGTGGTAGTAGTATTGGGATAATAATCTTAGTGGAGATGTCAAGTCTAGAGTAGAGCATCCCAACCAGTGTGTCGCAAATGGGCTATAGTTAAGATATTGATCTGCTCAGCCCTTGGGGCTGCCGAAGCTCCAGCGGGTGTTGCTTCTGGCTTCAAGCAGCAACATCCAGTGTGACATACAAATATCCCTCTTTCTGTGTGCCCTGATATGAAAAAGTTTTGGCAGGTAGCAGGTAGGGAGGATCAAGTAGCCAGTCCAAATTTCAAGTACAGGAGAATTCTTTGGATGGATGGCAAAGAGAATCAAGAACCTGGAGCAGAGGCTTCGCAAGTGTGGGCTCTCCAGCTCCAGTAGGTGTCATGCTATGACATGCAGAGGAAGTCTTGCCAGCAGGATGCTTCAGTGTTTCCCTCTTCACATACAAGGACCCTGTGAGTCACTCTGCAAGGATTTGTGGAGAGCCCACAGTGAACCAGAAACGAGGCTGCCGCCCGAAGTCCTGTGTAGGCAACAAATGTTAAAGATAGTGATAAGTTCTGAAGTGAGTGACTCCAGGAGTGTGAGTGCTAGGAAGAGGTAGCACCCAGGGCTGCAGGGACTTAAAAGGGGACCCAGCCTTGCTGCAAAGTGGGTTCTAAGGACGATAGGAAGCCATTGAAGAGTTTTAATCAAGGAAGTGGTAAATTTAGGTTTGTCCTTTTTTTTAAGTCACCCTGACACAATATTACAAAATTAATAAGAAACAGGCAAGAGTTTGAGGACATGCATTAGGAGACTCTTACAGTAGTCAAGAGATGAGAGATACCTAGACTTTTTTTTATTGAAGTATAATTTACATACAATATTACATTAGTTTCAGGTATACAACAATAATGATTGATACTCATATACATTGCAAAATGATCACAATAAATCTAGTTAACATCCGTCACCACACATAATTACAAAGTTTTTTTCTTGTGAGAACTTTAAAAATTTACTCTTAGCAACTTTAAAATATGCAATATAGTAGTATTAACTATGGTCGCCATGCTGTAGATTACATTCCCAAAGCTTATTTATTTTATAACTGGAGATTGTACCTTTTGACTCCCTTTACCCATTTTGCCCACACCCAGTCTCCATCCTCTAGCAATCATCAATCTGTTCTCTGTATCTCTGAACTTGGGTTTGGTTTTTTTGTTTTGGGTTTTGTTTTTAGACTCCACATATGAGATTATACAGTATTTGTCTTTCTCTGTCTGACTTATTTCACTTAGTATAATGCCCTCAAGGTCTCTCGATGTTGTCACAAATGGCAAGATTTCATTTCTTGTCTATGGCTGAATAATATTCCATTGTAATATATATACCACACTTTCTTTATTCATTCATCCTTCAATAGACACTTAGGTTGTTTCCATATCTTGGCTATTGTAAATAATGCGGCAATGAACTTGTGAGTGCATATACTGTTTCGAGTTAGTATTTTCGTTATCTTTGGATAAATACCAAGAAGTGGAATTGCTAGGTCATATGGTAGTTCTATTATTGATTTTTGAGGGACCTCCAAACTATTTTCCATAGTGGCTACACCAATTCACATTCCTACCAACAGTGCACAAGGGTTCCTTTTCTCCACATCCTCGCCAACACTTGTTATTTCTTGTGTTTTTGATAATAACCATTCTAACAGGTATGAGGGGATATATCTTTGTGGTTTTGATTTGCATTTCTCTGATGATTAGGGATGTTGAAATCTTTTCATGTGTCTGTAGGCTATCAGTACGTCTTTTTTGGAAAAATGTCTATTTAGATCCCCTTCCCATTTTTAATCATATTGTTTAATTTTTTTGCTGTTGAATTATATGAGTTCTTTATATATTTTAGATATTAAGCCCTTATTAGATACATGATTCGCAGATTTTTTTCTCCCATTCAGTAGGTTGCCTTTTCATTTTGTTGATGGTTTCCTTTACTGTGCAGAAGTTTTTTAGTATAATGTATTCTCACTTGTTTATTTTTGTTTTTGTTACCTTTGTTTTTGGTGTCAAATTCAAAAAATCATTGCCAAGACTGATGTCAAGTATCATACTGCCTCTGTTTTAGGAGTTTAATGGTTTCAGGTCTTTAATCCATTTCGAGTTAATTTTTGTATGTGATGTAAGATAGTAATGTACCTAGACTTTTGAGGAAAAAGAGGGAATTAAGGAAGACCTCAGTGATTCTGGGTGGCTGGAGGTGCCATCCCCAGGATGGAGAATCCTGGAAATAGAATAGTTCTGGGCATGGGGGATTCAGTTGGGAACTTGTTCTATTTGTGACGTCTGTGCGATGTTCACTGAGAATGGCCAGTAAGGCCAGTGGATGAATAGATCTGAACACAGGAGAGATGTTTGAATAGTCAGAAAGAACCAACAGCAGTGGGGTTGGCTGCCTGCCTTCAACTGGGCTCCCTTCTAAGGGAAGCGAGTTTAAAAGTGGGTTTTGACCAATGAAATCCTAATTTTCAACCAGTTTGGCTAGCATGCTTCTCTTTTACACCCCAGTTTTAGAATTCTTAACTGTGCGTATTTCGAACTCTCTTCGTAAAAACCAACATAGTTCTCTACTTTGAAGAATTTGTCTCTTTTTTTTCTTGTCTACCCCATTCACTCTTTACCCATGTGTCCTTGCAGCAGGAAGAAGCTGTGCAACTCATAATGCAAAACTGTCCATTTTCTCAGATTTGTGACCAAGACAGAAATCTCTGACCTCAGCTGGGGATCTTGGTGCTGGCCAGAAGCCAACTTCATGTCTGAGTGCGCGAGCAGCAGTTTGCCATGGAGAGCTTGGGGCTGCAGACGGTGACCCTCAGTGATGGGACGATGGCCTATGTCCAGCAAGCTGTCAAAGGCGAGTATTTCCAGCGACCTCCAAATCCTGCCCTGTCCCCTAGACTCTGGAGAGGAGTGTCCCCTTCCATGAATATCACCCCCACCCTGCCCTCCCACACACTCGCCACTTCTTGCTTTGCAAGAGAATCTTAAGGTAATTGATGAAAAAGGAACTCTTTAAAATAAAATGCCCTATGGCCTTGCCACCTTGAACAAGCCTGATGCCATCTGATCTCGGAAGCTAAGCAGGGTCGGGCCTGGTTAGTACTTGGATGGGAGACCATGTAGGAAGACCAGGTGCTGTAGGCATTTAAAAATAAAAAATAAGGGATTGTAAGATGATAAGGTCCTTGCAATCTGTGAGGTCAACCAAGGGTTGCCTCACCTAAAAAAATAAAATAATCAAATAAAATAAAATGCCATCTAAGCAGGCTAGAAAATCAGACTAGCCCAGCTTTAGGAGCCAAGATCTCTAAGAGGCAGAATTTCTTACATGTGAGGAATTCCTTACATACTGAGTAGTTTATAAATATTTTTGGAATAGATGAATACAGTGCTGGCTATGACTTCCTGCTTTTCACATACTCCCAGTCCAGTTTCTTAATGCTTTCCAGAACAGTTCATCTTAATTCAAGCAACTTTAATCACTCAAACTATCTACTAAGCATCTACCATGTACGAGGTACTCTTCTCGGTTCAGAAAGGGACACCCAAGCATAGACCTCATGCCTTAGGCCTCACTAAGTTGGCCAGAAATAAAAATACATGGCATACAGTTAAATTTGAATTGCAGATAAACAATAATTTTGTAGTAGAAGTATATCCCAAATATACTTCATGGGATAGACATGTGTAAACATGAGAATAAATGCTAAAAATACTGAAATAATAACACTAAGTACTAAAAAAATACATTGTATATCTGAAATTTGATTCTCAAGGAACTTAAAATTGAAGTGGGTATGGCATTAGAACAGAATGTTGTTGAAGGGCAAGGCCTTTGGGTCAGGAACACTTAACCTTCACCACCGGCTCCTTTCTCTCCAGCATTCTCAGGACTGCCAGATGATATGGGTGTCTTCCTTGTACAGCACTGGGTAAACACTGCCTCATTCCTACTTATTTTGCCTTTTCTGGACTCTGTGAGCACTGCTCATGACTGCATTACCATTGCAATATTGCCCTCCCTCATTTCAGCACATTGTCAAAATGTATTTCAGTTCCCAAGTTTACAGATAATTTGTTTGTTGATTTCATTAAATTGTTTCCTGATGATGACAAAGAAGCCCCTTAATCTCATCAGTGTGGGGGTTGCCATCTGGAAAGGTTTCTTGTCAAAAACTATGATGTGTGGGTCTGGCTGGCTTAGTTTTCTTGAATGAAACCTCTAGAATACTTTTGAAGCCCCAAACCCTCTGTCTGCACACTTCCTATCACAGGCCTTGCCCCTCTGCTACAGTCTCAGTGGGATGTAAGAATTTAGGAACTATATAGATAGGGTTGTGTTTATTCCATGGACCCAGTTATTTCTCATGCTTCAGTCTTCTGCTATGAATTAATGGTTGAATGAGTAAGTAAAAGGCAAGTGGCCACACTTGGCCTGAGAAAGTCACATTCTTTTCTTATGTCTGGATCTCTTTGCCTCCCGCACCTCCTTGTTTATATCTTACTTTCATCACTCTTCCTGGCTCCATTCTCTGCCTCTTCCATGGTGCTGCAGATTTCACACAACAGGGTAGAGCTGATGCAGAACTGCACTGTCCCGAAGGGCTTTCTCTCTGATGAGCTCCTCTGGGCATTTCATCTCTGTCAGCAGGCAGCTCTGTCCGGGCCCAGCTGAGCCAGCCAGCAGGAAGCCCTAAAATTTTATGAGATTTGTCTATAATTAGGGTGAGCATAAAACATGTCATTCAAACCTGACACTTTTGAAAGTGGAAGAGTGTGCTATGAGTGAATGCACTGGGATAGTTCCAGACAAACAGGAACGTATGGTCGCCTCTCTGTAATGGGATATGAGGGCCATGTCAGTCAGCTCTTCTCCCCTCCCACCCCATCCCGCTCTTTGTAGTCTCTGGTTGTTACAGGAAATTCTAGTCTAAAATTTTTCCTTAGCCAATATTACACATTTCAAAATATATTTTAAATTAACATGTAAATTATATAGGTTAAATATATATTTATATTTGTAAAATATATGTAGTGTGCTCAGTATGGATTTACTGTAAGATCAAGGATTGTATTGGAAATACAGAGGTGTAAATAAAAGTTCATGATGGTTCTACACTAAAAAAAAATTTTTTCTCAAATAACTCTTCTCAGCATTTTGTTTTCTGCCTTAAAGCAACATCTACTCTGCTAACAGGGGCTTTCCTGATGCTTTCAGAACTCCCAAGTAACTGGTGCCCCTACCAGGACAGATAAGGCGTTAAAATGCAGAGTCGCCTGCTACTCACTGGGTAGGAAAGAAAAGAGGGGGTCTCTCTCCCCTCATTTCAACTGCCTTTCTTTCCTACTTCTTACTTTTGTCTCCTTCTTACCTGCCTTCAACTGGGTTGTAGAACTGTTAATTACCGACCCAAGAAGACTCAGTTTGGGGACAAGTTTGGGAATTCCTCTGAGGGAGAGACATCAACAGAGTTGGGCCGGAAGTAACTGCCTGGTCCTTTACCCACATCATAAGAGCTCAAATTCCTAAACCTGAAACTTGAAAAGAATGAACAAAATATTGTTATTAACTCTTCAATCTCCCTTTCCTTCTTTCCTTTCTCACTTTCTTTCCGCATTCACTCTTCTCAAACTCACGGGACACAGGGAGGGACCTATCTAATTCTAAGTCTAAATTTAAGAACCTTTTGCTCTTAGAAGGGCTTTCCAGTAAAGATGAGATAAAGGAAGGATAATATCTTAAGTCTGGAGTCTTGTTAATTTTTATGGTGCTTGTTTTATTGCCTTAGGTGAGTCAGTTTTTTATTGGAAAACTGAAATAAAAATGTCAGTGATCAATGGAGGAAACATTACTCATCAGTAGCAGTGGAACAAGACCCAGATGGACGCATAATACCGTAGTAGTCACATTCACCTTGTTCCCTAATGCTTTACTTTCTGTTTCTTCTAATATGCAAATTAGGCATATAAGAAAAGCTAAAGTTTATTGAGGGCTGATCACATACCGGGCACTGTTTTGAGTGTTTTATATTCATTAACTCATTTAACCCCTATAGCAACCCACTGAAGAAGTCACAATTTTTTATTTTTTACGCCTACAGCACCTGGTCTTCCTTGGTGGTCTCCCATCCAAGCCCAACCCTGCTTAGCTTCCGAGATCAGACGTGAAGACACAATTTTTAATCCTCATTTTAAGAAGAGGAAGCTAAGGCACGACAAGGTTAAATAAGCTCTCCAATATCACACAGCCAGTAAGAGGTAGAGCTGAAATTCAAACCGAGGGGCCTGGACTGGTTCCAGAGCTTCTGTCCACTAAGCTTTACTGCCTCATCAGAGGGTCTAGGTCTTGACATACTGCCAAGTCAGAGATAAGGGAATGTATTTTGATTTTTGAATTTTGACCCATTGGGGCCTTTTCAGGTTTCAGGGCATCCTTTGTTCTCCATTTAGTTCAGTCTCAGCAACTTACTGTTAGGTTGGACGTCCCCCTTTTGCTGGGCATGAGTAGAATAATAAACGAAGTTGCTCCTCCTGTAAGTAACAGGAAGGGAATCTGTTGGGAGCTGTAGGGTTCCTCATGACAGGATGTCTTTACCCCCTGTACCTCTGAAGCACAGGCCTCAGGAGGCACAGAGTGAGGTAATATGGAGAATGCCACCTGTATTTAAGCACGCAGACATGATACCTGTGTCTCAGATGGGCCGCTGCTAAAAACAGGCAGGTGTTTTTAGTCCGTTGTGGGCCTGGCCCACTTTTCTTTATTTTCACCTCCATAGGAGAGAAGCTGCTTGAAGGGCAAGTAATCCAGCTTGAGGATGGGACCACCGCATACATTCACCAAGTGACAGTGCAGAAAGGTGAGAGCACTCCGAGACACCCCTGCTTCATGGAGGGAGGCCAGGCATTCCCCACTGAGGGACCCCGCCCTGGCACCAAGCTCCAGAGAAAGGCAGGCATTGCTCTCATTACAGAACCACTTTCCTTTGAGGACGGACAGCCTGTGCAGCTAGAAGATGGCAGCATGGCCTACATACATCGCACACCCAAAGGTGGGGTCATAGTCATCATAACTGGCAAGAAGGAAGGGAGACAGAACAAGCAGAGGTTGGGGCACAGAATAATGTACCCTGGGAGTTGGGGTGTAGACGTGGGAGCTGTGGTCCCCAACCTCACCTAGGTTAGCAGTCTCGCCTACCTTCCCTGATGTGTACCACTGGAGCAGCTATTTGTGCCCCCAGGAGGCTGGGCCTTGGGAGTCAATAGCATGGGCCTTGATTGCAGCTTTGGTACCAGCACAATCACAAAGTCTTAGGGCCTTAAATAGGATCTGAGGATGTCATCCAAGATGAGGAGTAAAAAATTTACTAACACTTAAGAACAAAGCACCTACTAAAGAATAACTGTTCCTTTAACAAGTAGTATCTTAAGCAACTACTCGTGTGTGCCAGGCATATGTGTGCTCGGTGTGGCATCTACAAGAGAACAAAGTCAGATACAGTCTCTGTTCTCCTAGAATCTAGAGGGAGAAATACAAGTGAAGCGAATCATCACTGATGAACTGACCATTACAAACAGGGATAAAGCTCAGGGAGGGCATCTCTAAGGAAGTACCCGTGAGTTGAAAGCTGAAGAATGAAGTGGACTTAGCTAGAAGAAGGGTGGCAGGGAGCATTCAGTACCACAGACAGAAGGAACAGCATGTATGTGCCCAGAGACAGGGGAGAAAGGATGGCAAGTTCTGGAACTGCTAGGGGCTAGGGTACTGGGAATGAGGGCAGAATAGGTAAGATGAAGCCAGGTAGAGGTAGGGGCCAGAGTGCTTGGGGTGTGAATGTTAGATCTTTATTCCGAGACCAATGGGAAGCAGTTGAACTGTTTCAGTCCTCAGGTAACATGATCACAGTTGTGTCCTGCAGAGATCCCTCTGGATCTTGTGCTGCCTAGAGGGTGGTAGAAGGGATAAGGGAACACCAGTTAGGAGGTTCTTGTGCTCATCTAAGCCAAGATAATGATGGTCCACTCAGATCCTCAAGGAGCTTTTGAGTTCCCAGTCGGTGCTCCAGAGGAGACCTTATCCTTTGGAGAGGTGGCCCCAGAAGGAATGCTAGCCAGAGTGAATCACCATGGTGAGGGACCAGGAGAAACCTGATGCTGAAACCCTCAGTATATGTACCTCTTCTTACTTTAAAGCCAGGGTCCAACCCTATCTCTTGCCCTTGTGTCACATTTGGACTAACTGCGTGTTCCCGCAGAGGGCTATGACCCTAGCGCCCTGGAAGCCGTCCAGCTGGAAGATGGCTCCACTGCCTACATTCATCACCCCGTGGCTGTGCCGTCGGACAGCACCATTCTGGCTGTGCAGACAGAGGTGGGCTTGGAGGATCTAGCCACAGAAGATGAGGGCTTCAGCACAGACACAGTGGTGGCCCTGGAACAGTATGCCAGCAAGGTGAGCTCACAGAGCCTTATGGTGCCTGTCAGCTGTCTTGGCCCTGCCAAAACTACCACCTCTATAGAGGACAAGACTGTCCTGCACTTGGGCATGGCCTGAGCTACTTCCTTTGCCCATATACCCTGGCTTCCCAGTCATCATCATCCAGGGCGTGCATTGTAGCCTGGCTGGAGCGTTGACAGCTCTTTACACTCACCCTTGTTTATACTGTCTCTGCAAGGGGAAGGCAGCTGTAAGAAACAGTGACATTCATACAGTGGGATTTTGGAAATTTAGGCCTAGCTTCACTTTGGCTGTTGTAATAATCCTCTGTACTCTGAGAAAGCCCTTGCCAGTGACTTTTATTAGTTTTCCAGTTCTCTAAGGTCAGATATTTTTGTACTTTTTTCTTCTCTGCAACTCATTTAATTATTTGAGGGAAATAACCTCAGTAGGCAGTGATGAGGGCAGATGGCAACAGAGCAGCTTGGATTCTTGGAACACAAGGCCTGCACAGTAGCTCAGCTACAAAGGAAAAGGATCCCAGTTCTCCAAATGTCAGTCAGTCCATGTTCTCTCTCTGCTGGAACCGTGGTCTTAGCCACATGGGAAATGGTTATGGAGATCTGTGAGCTTTCCAAACTGGCGTGCTCTCTCTCAGGATGAACTACAGAGTCTCTCAGTTTTACCTAAAGATTGGGAGGAATTGTTTATATTTATTTTTTGAGGTTGAACATTTTTGCCTATTGATCTTCATACTTATATTTCTTTTCTCTTCTTAATCATTTTTAAAATTACAGTTAGTGTATAATATATTAGTTTCAGGTATACAATATGGTAATTAAACATTCATATAACTTAGGAAGTGATCACCCCAACAAAGCTAGTACCCATCTGACACCATACATAGTTATTACAGTATTATTGACTATATTCCATATGCTATATTTTACATTCCTATGACAGTTTTGTAACTACTAATTTGTACTTCTTAATCCCTTCCCCTTTTTCATCGCCCCCAACCCCCCTTTCACCTGGCAACCATCAGAATGTTCTTTGTATCTATGAGTTTGTTTCTATTTTATTTTGTTTATTTTGTTCTTTAGATTGTACATGTAAGTGAAATCATATGGCATTTGTCTTTGTCTGACTTAGCACAATACCCTCTAGGGGAGTCCACTCAGCACAATACCCTCTCAGGGAGTTGTTTTTCTAATAAAACTAGTGTGGCTATATCATAGAGAAGAAGAGGAAATCCTTATGTCTTTTCAAAATGAAGCACAAAACTTTACCACAGGCCACTATGGGCTATGCCCATTCCCATTCCCTGAGGTGTATTTTAAAAGGCAAATTGGAGACTCGATGCTATTGGAAAAGACAACTGGGCTTTAAATCATGAGCCCTGAGATCTGTGCTGGCTCTGCCTCTATCTAGTCTAACCTGGGGTAGCCATTCCTCTCCCAGGCATCAGTGAGATGGGACCCGATGATCTCAGAGGTAACTTCCAACCTGGAAGTTCTAGTGCTACTGAGATATGAGAATGAAATCCAAACTCCTGAGTAGGTTAACTCGCTGAGCAGGCCTATCCACCTGTGACCCTCCCCCGCCAACCACCAGCTACTTAAGCGTCCATGAAACTTTGTCAAGCTGCTTGACCCCCTGACCTGGAACTGACTAGGCAGAACTTTCCATGAATTTGGCTTCACACCTTGGTCCCCTACCCCACTGTGACTTCCGGAGTTCTGTTTCAGGAGCTTCTAGGAAGTCCAAAATGTTCCAGAAACAAAGACTAAGGGACAGTCTCAGCACAATCTCAGGAAAGAATAAAAACAGTAAGGGCTCCCTGAAGCCAGAAGCTGGCGTGAAATGGGTGGCTCTAGCAGTGTTCCCGGGAGAGATGAAAGGGAAAGACTTGTCAGTTGGTTGGGCACTGTAATTAGAGCTGAGACTTCTGGTGGGGACCTGCAGGCCCCTGCCCTGAGCGCTTTTGCAGTTTGCTGGTTGTGGCCACCTCACACTGGTGAGCTCTAGGTGAGCTTATCCCTACACCAAGCCCCCTTGTCAATGCCCCTTCTGAACAGGTTTCTCACAGAGAGGACGAGATCCACTCCCATCAGAGGAGAGAGGTGTCCAGAGTTGCGGCCTCCTAGGAGTGTGTGGTCATAAGTGGGGTTGCTGGCTCCAAGCCTAGCTCAGGTGTGGCCATTTAGACCACCCCCTCCCCTAGCTGCTTAGGAGATGCCCTTTCTTCTATAGCTGTCACAACCCCATGACATTTAGTCCTCCCTCTATCCATTAGAGATTGGTGGTAACTTCACATGCCAACCCTATTTCTTTCTGCAATGTGCCCATTGTCTGTTCCCTGTGTCTGGATCTGTCACCCCAGGTTGCCCTTCTCCTCCTGGCAGTTTAACCATGCTTATTGGGTCTGAAGCTGCCCTGGGTAGGCCCTGTGTCCCACCTCTTCCCTCCCTTCACTGGGGAGAATACACATAGAGACCTCAAGATTTTTTCCTCAGGTTCTGCACGACAGCCAGGCTTCCCATAATGGCAAAGGGCAGCAGGTTGGGGACAGAGCATTCCGCTGCGGCTACAAGGGCTGTGGGCGTCTATATACCACTGCTCATCACTTAAAGGTAAGGTTGCCACAGACAGCTTTCAGCCTTTCCATCTTCCTCACCAGCCTGTAATTGTACCTGCCCACTTTTACTGGGGGTCCCTGTCCTCAAGTTGCTCATTGCCTACTGGAGGAAGAGATGAGTATACAGAAATATCAGCACAGGGGGCTGTGACACACATGAAGAGTGCAGAAAAGAAGAGAGCCAGGGAAGGCTCCCTGGAGAAGGTGGCCTCTCAGCTGAAAAAGAAGCAAAATGAAGGAGGTGGCCAATACTGATACTCTGGGCCCTAAACAGAATTGAAGAGCCCATTCATGTCTTTATTCTTCTGAATTACATGATTGCTTGTCCTCACAGGTACATGAAAGAGCTCATACGGGTGACCGTCCATACAGGTGTGATTTCTCCAGCTGTGGGAAGGCATTTGCCACAGGTAATCTACCTGGATGGAGACTGAAGGTGAAATGCTTCCAGTTGATGGCAGAGGTTCTAGATTAGCCTTGGGAACTCCATCTAGGGAACCCAACACCAGGCTGCCCTCCTGGAGAAACTACTATCAGACTGCTCTGACTTGCAGGGCGCTGTCTCTGGAGGAAGCCCCGTTACAGAGGCAAGTGGCAGCATGGTCTAGGCCAGCAGAAGGAGCCGGGGGGATGAGGGGGTGGAGGAAGGTTGGCAGAGAGACCCTCCCTTTTGTGTCAGCTCTGACACCAAACAGCTAGGGGTGTTGGATAGGCCATTGCATCTCTGGGCTTCACTTTCCCTCTGAACCGAAGACCTTTAGCCATGAGTTCTCTAGGTTCCCTCTCACACTCTTGTTCCAGAATGGCACCAGCTGCCCCTGGAGAGGGAAGGAGGGCAGAATAGGCTTTCCATCCCCTCTCAACTGGCCAGGTAGGGATGGGATAGAGGCAAATACAGGCTTCTTGTGCCAAAGGAGATCGAGCCTCACAGAACACACCTTAAAATGGAGAGCTTCTGAATTAGGAAGATGAGATGGTAGAGGATGAGGCCCCACTGAGTGCTGCCCTCTCACACACGTACAGGATATGGGCTGAAGAGTCATGTGCGTACCCACACTGGTGAGAAGCCATACAAGTGCCCAGAGGAGCTGTGCAGCAAGGCCTTCAAGACCTCAGGAGACCTGCAGAAACATGTCCGGACTCACACTGGTTGGTTGGGCCCTGCCCTCCCTGCCCTGTTCATACTTGAATCTGGAGCCTCCTGCTGTCCTTGCTTCTTGCTCCGCATGACCCCACTTCCTGAGCCACATCCCATCTCCACAGGTGAACGTCCATTCCGGTGCCCTTTTGAGGGCTGTGGCCGCTCCTTCACCACATCTAATATCCGCAAGGTACATGTGCGCACCCACACAGGCGAGCGGCCCTACACCTGCCCTGAGCCCCACTGTGGCCGCGGCTTCACCAGTGCCACCAACTATAAGAATCACGTCCGCATCCACACAGGTGGGCCAGCTGGCATGCAAAGACCACCCCCTCTGAAGACCCAGCCCCCTCTACTGTAGGCTTCTGACCTGAGACACGTTCTCTACTCCTAGCCCAGAGCTCTTCTCTGCTGACTGTTCCAGGCTGGTCCATGGGCAGGGCTAGGGGGCTTCTGTGGTTACAGCCATGTCCTCAGAACCATTGTTTCACTTGCAATGCCCAGTTCCTCCATTTCCAGTTAGCTTCTCTCTGACAGATGCTGCCAGCTCTCTTAGGTCCCTGCCACCTCTCTACATCCACTCTGAATTCTTCAGCTGAGCTCCCAGGAAAAGGCCAGGGTCAGGCATGATATGGGGAAAAAAGCAGAGTGAAATATCACCTTTGGCTCTTAGCTTCATCCACTGTCCTATCCGTATGACTCCTGGGTATCCTCACCCTCCCGAGTTTTAGGTCCCTCGTCCAGCCTTCTGTGTCATCTCTCAGCCGCGTGTGTCCCCTCGCTCTCCCATGGTGCCTAACATGTCATTCATCCCTCTCTATCTCCTACCTCTTCTGTTCAAGACCCTTGAAACTTATAAGCCCCCAGCACTGCCCCCGAGTCCCTTCACTAGCTCCAGCTTTGCCCTGTCCCTCCATTTTCTCTCTACTTTGTTTCTGGGCTCAATGGGCCCAAACTCACATCCCCTGTGTTCTACTGGCCATCTTCCCCAAGTCTGTCCATTCAGAGTTCCAGATCTTAGTCCCTTCCCCGCCCCCCACTCTCCCTTCACCAGCTGTGCCCTCCACCCCTGTCCCCTTAGTTTCCCCCTTGCCAGCCCCAGTTCCTACCCCCCTCACAGCCCAGTGTCCCCAGGGGAGAAGCCATACGTTTGCACGGTGCCAGGCTGTGGAAAGCGCTTCACCGAGTACTCAAGCCTGTATAAGCACCATGTGGTGCACACACACTGCAAGCCCTACACCTGCAGTACCTGCGGCAAGACCTACCGGCAGACCTCCACCCTGGCCATGCACAAGCGCAGCGCCCACGGCGAGCTGGAGGCCACCGAGGAGAGCGAGCAGGCCCTTTATGAGCAACAGCAGCTCGAGGGTGAGGGGCATGGGCAGGAGGTGAGAGGGGACAAGCCAGGCCGCCCTGTGGCCGTCCAGTGGCAGGTGTCAGCCTGGGCTCTCCTCTCCCAGCCGCCTCTGCAGCTGAGGAGAGCCCACCACCCAAACAACCCCGGATTGCTTACCTTTCGGACGTGAAAGAAGAGGGTGATGACATCCCAGCCCAAGTGGCCATGGTGACCGAGGAAGACGGGGCCCCCCAGGTGGCTCTGATCACGCAGGATGGTGCCCAGCAGGTACAAACTCTGGTGGTAGGGATGGGGTGGGCTACTCTGGCCACTGGGCCACTCTCCCACTCTCTTGGGAGCCCCAAAGTTCTGACAGCCCCACCTCCACCCAAGATTCTCTTTTTGGCCTTATAGATCTCAGAGAGCTGAGGCTGAGGGTACTAAATCTTGTAATACAGCCCCTCCTTCTCCTCTTGCTTCCAACTCAGTCTCTGGGACTTCTGGAGCACAGTTAGTAGTTTTCCTCTTTACTTAACGGCTGACAGTTCCTGATCATTTGAATAAGACACTTGAATGTCCTCAAGAAAAACATATTGGTATGGGTGCCAGAGCATGGTGTAGGCTCTGAAAGCCCGGGGTTTCTAGCCAGCAGTATAACCTGACCCTTGTTAACACCCTCACTGTCAAGTGTACCTATGTCTTTTGAAGTTGACATGAGGATGTGGTTAGGTGGGGACCCTGAATTGCGTGGAACAGAGCCATGAGGCAAAGTAGTGGTAAATAAAAGTGGTCAGCAGAATTTTTCTAATGTGGCCTCTCTTTGCAACCTAAGACCTGTTTTACTTGCTTATCCCTGACCACCCCCTCCATCCCTGTAACATGGAGCCAATCTTCTAGCTTACCAATAAGCTAACCTGTCTAGGAGAGCAGATATAGTCACCTAGGGGCTTTCAGACACCCTCCACTTCACTCCCAGCTCACCTTCTTCCTTCCTGTCAGCAGGTCAGCCTGTCCCCGGAAGACCTGCAGGCCCTGGGGAGTGCCATCAGTATGGTGACCCAGCATGGCAACACCACTCTCACCATCCCCACTCATGATGATGACCTTGCCACGTCTGGCACACATACAGTCACCATGGTCAGCGCCGATGGCACCCAGACGCAGCCCGTATGATCAGGCAGTCTGCTTGGGGTTGCTTGTTCTCTTGTCCTTCTTTCTCGAGGGGTAGACATTAACGTGCAGGCTAAACTAGTCAAGCTTTCTTATAAGGACTAAGATTCCCCTACAAAAAAGGGTCTTCCTTTCAGCTCCTCTGGGCCATCAGCCACTCTCCTGTTGAAAGACATTTCACTGGAGGTCAAGAGACAGTTTCTAAATCTTGAACTACTCCTTACTTGCTTTGCTACCACAGGCAAGTCACTTTTCGTGGACTTCATTCAGTCCATTTTCAAATGAAGGGATTAAATGATCTCTGGGGCCTTTTACAGCTCTGTCCTGTAATTGAAAATCCCTAAATTAAGTTGGCTGTAAGAAAAACACAGCCTCACTTACCTCTGAGCCTCAAGCTAATTAATCTGACCCAAAATGGTTTTATCATTCACTTCTGGGCTGTTTCTAACCTCTTTGCTTGGAGAGATTTTTGTTTGGATTGGGGGGAGGGGAAATAATGTTAGTGAGTTGGAAAACCTCATTGTGTCTATTTCAGGTCACAATCATTACTTCTGGGGCTGTGGTGGCTGACGACTCAAGTGTAGCATCCCTTCATCAACAGGTGGCACTGTTGGCCACAGCCAACGGAACGCACATTGCTGTACAGGTGGGTAGAGGTCTGGGAGGGTCCCAGGGCCACAGAAAATAACCAGGAGGGGAGGGAAATGAAGTAGAGATCTTGAAGAGAAGGGTATCTGGTTCAAAAAGAGCTCATTTCAGAGGACAAATCCTTTCTCTCTAAATCCACATACTTGTCTCAGGTTCTTTCTTGACTGAAGCAGAGTGGTGAAGCCCCTTCTAGCCTTCAGAATAATTTTGATGGCAATCTAAGCCCTCCATCTCATCATATCTCCATTTCTTCATCAGGAAAATAAGGAGACTAAAGTAGATGATTACTAAGGTCCTCTCCAACCAGTCATTCCCTTCGGTGAAGTCATTCCTTTCTCTGACCCTGAATCATCTGTGGCTCCCATACCTAGCCAATAGGACTCTATTAGGGAACTTTCTATTTATTGGGGCCCAGTGTGTGGCTCTGGGTGGATGGAGAGGATTCAAAAAAGCAGGCTACAAACTACTACCCCCAGAATCAAGGAGAAGGGGTCTCACTCTTCTTTCTCCATCCCCTTCTTCACAGCTGGAGGAACAGCAGACCTTAGAGGAAGCCATCAACGTGGCCACTGCTGCCATGCAGCAAGGGACTGTGACCTTGGAGACCACAGAGTCAGAGAGCCACTGCTGAGCCCGGGAGGGCGGGATCCCATACATGTTGGAGGAGGTGCCATGCTGCACAGTCATCCTTGCCTTCAAGGGCCCAAGCTGTAGCTGCCATGTGGAAGGTGGCCAGATAGGTCTCCAGAGCAAGAAGGCAGCAAGAAAATGGCCTAACTGAAGAGGACTGGGGCCCTGCTCAAGAGGAGGGCTAGACAGCTGGAATTGGGAGTGTGTCAACCTCAGGAGCTAAGGAGAATGAGTTTGATCACCAGGCTCCACTTGGGCATCCTCCCCTCAAAATCAGCAGGGCGCTCACTCTCCTCCCTGCAGAGAATACGCTTCCTGCCCTCAGTCCATTCCCCTTCTCAGGTGGTAATTGAGGTTCTAAGGGGACTGGTCCTCCACTCTGACTGGCCACTGCCCACCAGGGGAGAAGGCAGACAGGTCTTCAGCCCAGTAGGGGCAGAGCAGGCCCAGCTCTGCCCCTCCCAGCAATAACCACCTCCCCAAAGGCCAGCTGTGATGCCTGGCCACTTGGCAGCAGGGACTTCCTGCTACCAGAATTGCTCAGGGGACTGTGGCTGGAGAAAAGGTGCCCAGCCCCCCCCCCACCCCCAGCTGCCCCCAACTCCTCTGGCAGAGAGGCAGGGAGCAGCCTTGTACATACTGGGGATTGGGTGTTTGGTTTTTTTTTAAATTGCATTTTGATAATTTTTTTCCTGCTCTGGGCAGTGGTGGAAAACGGGTGAATGAGTATTTAATAAAAGTTCCAAGTTTCCACCTGGGTCCCTCCCCTCATCCTTTCATTTTGGGCCCTAGTGGCAGGGCTGGTCAAACCAGGCTCTTAGCTCTGTATCCACTGAGCCTCAGTGCTGGGCTGGTGAGACTGCCCTCCCAGGGGCACAGGTGAGAGGAAGCCCAGGTATAAGGTAAGCTTTGAGGAGCTGCTAGTGGCTTCCTGCCCACAGCTAAGCAGGTGGGCTCCAAGGTGACCAAACAGGACCAGTGTGACCACTGCTTCCAGGCTCTGGTTAGATCTCAGGCATCAGGATGGTTAGGCTGAAGGAACTCTTTTTGTATCTTATGTTACATAGTTAAAGTTCCTTCAGACCCAGCCAGTCCCCGCATATACCCTGCACACAGTTACTCCAAGTGGACAAAGTCCCACGTCAGAGTAGGGCAGGTTGTACCTTTGCCCAAGTTACTGAGGGTCTCTGATGGCTCTGTTGCTCTGGTGCTGAAGTACTGGCTCTGGTACCCAGCTCTAGGGCTGCCCACCTAGGTGTCTGGAACCATGCTATGGAATTCCAAAGCCACAGTCAGACCCTACGGAAAAGTGCATGGTAGGACTAGACCAACCCCAGAGGGAGGGAAGGGGTGTCGGGGGAGGGACTTGATGAAAAGGATCTTTGGGTTTGACCCCTCCTGCCTGGGAACATTGCAGAGATTGAAGGGGCCTCTTTTCCTCTCCACTGTGGTGGATGTGCCCTAAGCCCCTTCTTGCCACCCAGGAATGGAACCCTCTCCCACGGCCAAGGCATCCTCTCCTGGGAGCCCTAGCAAGCTCTGGTTTACTCTTGCCACCAGCTCCTTGGAAGCAGAGGGGGCTGGGGCATGCCCCAAGGAAGGGGGTGTCTCAGTTGCCTACCTTTAATATCCATGACCCCTGTTCCTGGGCGGGGGTGCGTCCCAGTGCTGATGGGCATTTGACCTAAAGAAATGGAAGCACCGATATGGAGGCCCCTGAATCCCAAGCTTCCTGCTGCCCCACCACAAGGCTCACCCCTGCGTGCTTCACAAACAGTCTCCAGGTCTTCAAGGCCAGAGTGGGCGATGCTCTGAGGGCCTTTTAGAGCCAAAGCCCAGAGGGTGGAGAGGCAGCAAATCACATGCCAAGTCCGCCTGACCTGGAGAGGTGCCCTGGCCCAGTTCCTCCTCCAGCTTTGTGTTGCTGCTTTTGTTCTCTGCTTGGGAGGAGCCCCACCACCACAGTAATGTTAAATGGCACTAAAAGAAATGCTTTGTCCAGTGCCTACTCTGTGCTTTACATCCATTCTCAGACCTTACAGCTCTACGAGGTGGGTATTTTTCCTACTTTACCAGTGAAAAAACTGCCCAAGGAGGTTGAGTAACTTACCTAGGGCCTCCCACCTGGTAAGCGTGAAATTGAGACAGCAATCCCCTCCCACCCCAACCTAACTCCAAAGTCAGGGTAGCTCGCTTTTTCCCTCAGCATGCTGCCTCTGGCAGCCCAGGAGGCCAGACAGAACACAGCTGGGGCTCTAGCTCTCTGGGGCTTGGTTCCCCAGCTGCCTTGCTGGGAGAAGGGCCACCGAGCCCTGCAAGAGCAACAGGCCAGTTCCCGCCAGCCAGGGCAGCCCTCACGAGCAGGCAGGTGGAGCTCTTGCTCCGCGCCTTGGCTCCTCTGCGGTCTGTAGCCGTTTGCATTTCCTGAAACCGGATCTGGGTGTCAGCCGCCCCTGGGCCGGGCGGGCGCCTCAGCCATGGCCCTGCGCAAGGAGCTGCTTAAGTCCATCTGGTATGCTTTCACCGCGCTGGACGTGGAGAAGAGCGGCAAGGTCTCCAAGTCCCAGCTCAAGGTGAGGGGCACCCGGGGCCCAGGGGAGGCTGGCAGACACATTTCATCAGCCCCTACCGCCTGGGAGCCAGACATGAACACTGCTGCTCCTGAGGCACCCAGCCATTCAGAGGCCCAGGCCTGGGGTGGGGGCTGGTACTGGGGCAACGTGGCCTAGTGGAGGCTGCTGCCCACCGTCCAGAGACCAGGGAGATACGTGCAGAGACTTTACCCAGAACCCTGCTCTTCAACTGTCGGGAGGGTGGAGGTGGCATCATGGGGTTCTGAGGGACATGGGCCAGGCAACATCCCAGACTCCATGTGATGAGCACACATCTCTCCAGAGTCAAGCTTGGGCACGTACCCCGCTCCTTCCTGCCTCTTCTGGCTTTGAAGAAAGACAGTTAGTTAGTATTTGTCAGTCACTTCCTCCCGGAGCTGAGAGAGGCTTCAAGAGCCTCTCCCAGTCCAAACCAGGCTGGCTTGGCCACTCCTGGCAGAACAGCACCTTTGAGCCCCGCTTCCCAAGTGGGACAGAGCTGGGAAGGGGCAAGGACTAAGGACCCCTTTATACTGCTGCCCAGCTTTCCCTTCCCCTCTCCCCACATAACCAGGTTGGGAAATTGTTATCTTAGGCCTTGAGACCTCAGGTAGGGAGGGGTGGAAACTGAGCCTAGGAAGAACCCCCATCAGTGATTGCCTAAAGTTCGTTACTTGACCCTGGAGAATTCCTGGTAAGCCAAAAAGTTTCTTTCCTTCCTTTCTCCAGTCCTGGGTTAGTGCTGCCTTCTCCACCCTAGTTAGTGGGGAAAGAAGCAAGGCCCTAAGCCATTGGAACCAGGGAACACTGAGAGACAGGAGCAAGGTAGACCTCAGCTCTCTAGGACCTGCCTTAGGGGTTTATTCTTTTGCTCTACAAATATTTATTAAGCACCTACTACATGACTCGCTCGAGGCTAAGGCCCTAGATTCCTGGTGTCTCGACCAGGGCACCCCCAAAGGAGGGGTACAGTCTCAAGGAAACCTCCATTCTTAATGACCAAAGTAGGAGGTGCTTGAAAACCTGAGAGAGATGAATGGAATAGGATAGATGTTATCCCCCATCCCCATTACAATGCCATGCTTTGCTGAACTTGAAGGCAGTGAAAATGAGTGTTCCAAACTGGTCCTATCCCATAATCGTTGCTTTAGCCAGACTTATGAGCTATGATTTTTGACTTCCCCAGGGAACAGAGTCCATTACCATCTTTGATCATCTGGGAAAGCATCCCAACAGGCAGATTCTTCTTATATTCTACTTAAATCCTTTTATTGCAGATCATGTCATCTAGTGGGGTCTTCAGTATAGACAGAAGAAAAGCAGATGGTCCAAAACCCATCCCTGCAGAAACTCCATGCCCTACATCCACCACCCACTCTGACCCTTTACTATCTCACAGGAGCCATCCCAATCCCCATAATTTGTTGTCTCCAAGGTACCATTTTCTACTTCATTACCTGTGGCCCCTGTGACTTCTCCAAGCTCTGTATGCCCCTCACATATTGAGAGTACAGCCCTCAGGTTCTTCCTCTTTTTCTGGTGCCATCAGCCAGTAAGGCTTCCTAGCTTGAGCTTCTAACTGGGCTGATGCCTACTCCACACCCTCACAGGTTGAGTATTTGCAGGGAAGATTCTGTGGGGAGCTTGCATACTTTAACTGTTTACTGCCTGCACCACATCACAGCTCACACAGCCCATGGCCAGCAGCCTCTTTGGTCACACAGGGTTGATGGTAGATTTCTCCCTCCACTCGACAGAAAACTGGTTCACTCTGGGGAGCTGAGCTAGCAGTGAGAGTGTCGGGGGTGGTGGGTGGGAAGAAGGATAGGGCCAGTGTCATCAGAGGGAAGCGTAGGGAAGGCAATTCAACCCCAAGCCCGTGATGGTAGAACTGGGAATGGGAGGAAGTAGTGATGGTATCAGGGGTGGGGATGCCAGAAAAGCAGAGTAGCAATAGAGAAGTGGTCAGAAGGCAGAGGAAGAAGCGGGTGAAAGAGATGTACCAGCGGGTCCCACCTGCTCCCCTGAAAAGACAGGGAGAAGGGAAAAGATGCTGGAGTTAGTCTTTCCTTACTAAAACTGTCCCTGGCCTTGGGGTCCTTAGTTGGAACCAGACAGGAGACCTGCATTAGCCAGAGCAAGCTATGTCTAAGACAGTCGCCACTTCTCCCCTGATGTGTTGGTAGAAGGGCTGCCACTGGCTGACCTGGGTAAAGCCATGAGGAGGCCAGAGGGAGGAGGAAGAACAGGAAGTCCTCTGAGAAGCCCAAGGAGTCGAGGTGGTTTTCTCTGGAGAAGAGAAGTCTCTGGGAAGAGATCAAATAAGTTTTTTTCTCTTTGAATTCTTGTAGAAAGTACAATGACCTTTGTCTAGGTGGGCTGAGACACTAAAATGACACTTCTGCCCAGAATGAATTTATGTTGAACACAAAATTTCTCAGGAGTTGACTGAGTTTTTGCAGGGTCCCCAGAACCTCCTTCTCTGAAGAACTTTAGGAGCCAGTGGTTCCGACAGAGGGCTGCAGGAAGGGGAGCCTTGGGAATGCTGGGTTTCCAAATGGCCCTACCTACTTCCCTAGGGGAGCAGCTTTGGTTTTAGGCCTAGTAGGGGATCAGCTGAGAATTTAGCTTCCTTCCCCAAATACCAGGCCTGGGGTGAGGGGCCTGGGATTGGAGATGTGTGTGGAGCAATGTGTCTCCAGCTGGATGAGAATTTTAGGAGGTAGCAGGCCTACCACTTCCCCTTGACTGACAGGAGCTGGGAAGGCAGAGAGAGAGGGCAAATTGGGACCTTCCCTCCTTGGCTCTGTCATGTCCCCCAGGCCCCTGAGCGTCCAGTAGGCACTCAGGGCAGTCCTAGGGCCCAGGGAGGGCCACCAGCCTACCAAGAAGCTCTAATGAGCTTCAGGCTCTACATCCTCTGGAGCGGCAGAACAATCACTTTGGTAGAGGGGAAATTAAGAACATTTGCTGGCTGGTCTCCTTGGGCTAGGATGAGGAAGAGGGGGAGGATGATTTAATAATGTGCAGAGCACTTGACTCAAAGCCACATAGGTTTAGACCTATATAGCTCCCCAGCTGGGTGACCTTGGGCAAGCTGCCACCCATCTCTGAACATTCAGTTTCTCATCTGTAAAGCTCGAGGGTTAAGCCGGGGATCAC